CCTAAACACAAAAGTGGAAATCTAAAAAAATAATTTAAACAGTGGCATTGCTTATAGAAGTCTCTGTTAATATAGCTATAGAGTCCATAATCAGTTCAATAAAAAAGAAAGCATATTGTGTAATTGTCCAAGACAGCAAAGCTCCAAGTAGTAACTAAAGGAAAGCTTCAGAAATTTGTCCTAATTTGATTTCTCAGTTCTTTGCCTCATTTTTAGAAAGTGGTGAGGGGAACAAATTGTCCTGAGGTAAGTGAAAAGTGACAAAAACCAAAGTCCCTTATCCCAAATGGTCAGAGATTTTAAAACAATGACATTCAGCCTGCAGAACTGTTAGTAGATAAGGGGGAGGGTGCTCACTACTCCCACTGCAGTTCTGCAGTTTAAGTGTAGGAGGAGCCTGGCATCCCAGCTGGCACCACCCCCAGGAGTTAACACTGCTGTGCCAGGTGGCTCTTCCTACATTGAAAGGGCAGAGCCTCATTGCCTCCTGTTCCCCTCCATGACAGCGATGATGCTAGGGAAAACCAGCTTTTATCCCCTACTGAAGTACCTAAAGCATATCCAAACTATGCAACACTGCCTAACTAGGAAACTTTTCCTTTGTCAGGTCTTGCTAATGCTTCAGATCCAATACAAACCAAAATCTTTAGAACAGACTTGAAAGCTGGTTATTAGGTATCAAGCCCCTCTGGCAGCATTCAGCATATAATGGTCATCTCTGGAGCTCTGATCTTTCTATAAACTCTGCATGGTGAACTCCTGCAACCAGAGCCCACTGCAAGATGGGAGTCTAAAGCACTAGACAGAAGGTTGAAGGAGTGTTCTCAAGTCAAGTTTATTATGCAAAACATTTAATAAAATTACATTTAGCTCTCAAGCAGGTTTAGTGATGACAGCACTTCACATTATAGCTTGACTTTCAGTTTAGTGCTTTATCTATTAAAGTTAATATATGAAGCCATAAAATGCTTTACACATTTAAAAGTAAAGTAAGTTTATTTTAAAAAAAATCTACTTTGTTGGAATTAAATATGAATTGATTCAGGTAGCTTAACAGGTATACACATGCACACAGCATTTTGCAAGTTCATTGACTACATGGACAGCAGCCAAAAACAAGTTACAGAACTACACTAGAATGTTACAAATGCCTCAGGAATGTATGTTGTTGCTAACTCTGAATAAAATGTTTGTGTTTTCAAAAGTTTACAACTGATTAATACAGCTTTGAAAGTGTAATATGCAGATGGAATGCTACTTTTAACTACCTTAATTTAAATGAAGAGTTCTCTTTGTATTTTTTTATTACACATTCCCTTTAGTAGTTTATGTTTAATACAGAGCATAGTACTGTATGGTGTTTTTTTGTTTTGGCTGCTGATTGTGTACTTTCAGTTCAAAATGAGGTGTGTGGATGACTACTGTCAAAGCAAAAGGTTCTCCCTTCAGCATAGGTAATCCACTTCAAGATGCAGTAGCTAGGCTGACAAGAGAATTCTCCCATGTCTATACAATGGGTCAAGTTGGTGTAACTACACTGCTCCAAGGATATGGATTTTCACACCCCTGAGCAACAGAGTTATATGGATCTAGTTTCCTGGTACACAATAAGTGTTAGTGACCCCTAATAAAACGAGTCAAAATAATTCTGGTGTTTCCAAGGAAATGAAAGTGTTCCAAATAACCAGTTTATGACAACATTCACTCCAAACTTGACTTAAGGGTGCAGAAAATACAACCTTTCATTTCATTGCCATCTAAAGAGTATTAGTACAACTAAGCTGTCTGCTCTGTGCTTCTCAGGATAACATGGCTGTGCCACTGCAGCAGAACCATGGTAAGCTGCACTGTACAGCTGCTTTTTATCATTTGAGAGCCCTCTCCTACTGACACAATAAAACCACTTCCAACAACGGGTGGTAGTTTTGTAGCAGAAAATGCTGCCACCACCAATGAAATGGTGCCCACATGAAGACGTTTTTCCATCATTAAAACTTTGTTCAGAGTGAAGTTTCACACTTCTAAGCAACAAGAGCTTTAACAATGAAAGTACCAGTGTAAAGGCAGCCTAAGATGTCAGTTCAGTTCCTTATCCCAGGAACAACCCCCACCCCAATACTCCTGGCAGCAACACCAAATTAGGGTAGCTTCCCTGTCCCTACCCTTTAACAACAGTCAATGACGTAAACATGAAAAGCCGCACCGCTTGCTATTTAGTGTAGAGGAAACTGAGCTGCCTTTGGACTGGTCAAAAGCTCTCAGCCCCAAGAAAAACGGCCTCGGAGGCAAAACACGCTTCCCCTCCCTACCATAAGTATGACTGAGACAGCGCACACGCAACCGCCCTGGTGCCAAGGGCAAACCTTTAACAACAGTCAATGACGTAAACATGAAAAGCCGCACCGCTTGCTATTTAGTGTAGAGGAAACTGAGCTGCCTTTGGACTGGTCAAAAGCTCTCAGCCCCAAGAAAAACGGCCTCGGAGGCAAAACACGCTTCCCCTCCCTACCATAAGTATGACTGAGACAGCGCACACGCAACCGCCCTGGTGCCAAGGGCAAAACGTAGGAAACTGGCCGACAGCAC